GGAAGTTAAGAGTTAAGACACACAGGGAATCGAGGGACCAGGACGTCGAAGGGGAATCAGGGCTGCAGCTCTGCGGTAGAGGACAGGCCCAGCGCACATGATGTTCACAGCACTACTGAAGGGGTTGGGGTTGGGGTGGGGCAGCATCTGGGTGCTTGTTAGTGTCAACAGGTGGTTCAAGGGAAGGGACAGAGAAGAGCAAGAGAGCAAATGACATCTGTTTGGGCTTCATATCAAGATAACAATTTCATTCCTGTTTGTCTGAGACCTTTCTAGGTTTGGTTTGGTAACCCTGTGTGTGTGTGTGTGTGTGTGTGTGTGTGTGTGTGTGTGTGTGTGTGTGTGTGTGTGTGTTCATATTCATGTGAGCATGTGCATGTGTGTGTTTGAGTGTGGATGCCCGAGGTCAGTGCTGTCTTTCTCTATTGTTCCCCACCTTGGTTTTTGAGACAGGGTCCTTCGATGAACCTGCAGCTCACTAATCCAGCTAGGCCAGTGGGCTCCAGGGATCTCCCTATTTCTGACGTCCTAGCACTAGGAACACAGACATAGGCCACTGGGCCCAGCTTTTACATGGGTCCTGGGCACCTGACTCGGGTTCTGATACCTGGGATCTGACTTGGGTTCTTATAACAGGAAATCTGAATCAGGTTCTAACACTGGGGATCTGGCTGGCTTGGGTTCTGATACCAGGGATCTCACTCAAGTTCTGATACTTGGGATCTGGGACTGGGGTTTTGATGCCAGGGATCTGACTCAGGTTCTGATACTTGCACAGCAAACACTTTCCTGGCTGAACCATCTCCCCAGCCCAAACCTTCCCAGCTTTTAATATCCTGGGAAAGCCTTCCCTACAGGGTAAGCCTAGACAACCCCGTGTCCTCTTAATCCGTGCTGGAGAAATGAGTGGCAGGCATGCCCGACAGCACTGAGCTGCACCCCCAGTTCCTGCATCTGCAGGTCAGCTGTGCTTAGCCAGCACTGTCTGAAGGACACCCTGGGAGAAGAAAGGGGCAGTGCTGGGTGAGCAGTCACCTCCAAAATACAGGCCCCTAGTACTGACAGAAGCTCTGCATTAACAATGGTGGTTTTTGAAAGCCTGTTCTTCTTTGGAAGAAGTTTTCATGAAAACATCCTTGGAAGTATTTCCTGGTTTTGCTGCAAGCGTTCAGTGGAATACGTGCAGTGCATGCCATCATTAGCTGACATCGTGTCCTTTTCTCCTGTTATATCATTAGCACTGAAAGGAAACCCCAAACATGCTTCACATGTACCCTGCAGGTGGAACTCATCAATTCAGGTCACGGGCCGTTAACTAAGGAATGACGTGAGCTCACGGCCCGCTTCTTCAGCCACCGGCCTGTGGTCCCTCCCAGTCTCAGCAAAGGCCACCCTGAGTGGGTGAGTCACTGGCTCTCAGATGAGGGGAAAGGCAATGGGGACTTCCTGCAAAGAGCCTCAGCAACCTGCAGAGACAGGCATTAAAAGCTACTTGGAACCTCTCAGAGTCTCAGCATCAAGACCTGGAGATGACCTTGGTTGTGAGGCTCCCCCATGTCTGTACTTCCAGGAACCCTTCTCTGTCCACCCCACAAAGTGATGTTTTCTTTTCCTCTACATGATGGTGCCTTCCTCTTGGCTACACACTTCTGTCTGCTCATTCCTGACACTCCAACCTCAGTCTCCTGAGGTTGCCTGCACTGAAAAGAGGAATAGCAGCGGGGAATGTGAACGAAGTCCCTGTCCCTTCTCATTCAGCTGAAACTTCCATCTTCATAACCTGTAATGTGCAGTCTTGTCCACATTCCCTTTGTCAGACTAATGGTATAGAAGGGCTGGTTTTGTTTTGTTTTTACTTTTTTCCCATTGTTGTTTTGTTTAATAACAATTTCCCCACGAACATGGAACCAGGAAAAGCATCTTCAGCCTCAGTGTGTCCCTGGGACCCCTCCTTTCATCACAGCAGGGGATGGGTGAGGGTGAGGAGAGACAGAGACAGACAGACAGAGAGGAGGGTGGGAAGGAGAGAGAGAGACAGAGATGGACTGTGGTGGTTTACACTCTAGATCAAGTCATATCCAGAGGCATGAACTAGCCAGAGATGTTAATTACATGAGCCAATGAATCCTTTTTCCATTTATGGCAATCTGCGTTACATCTTTCTCTCCCTGTCACTCACCAGTACACGAATATGAAGAGTTCATCCACCCACCCACCCACTCACTCATCCTCCCCCCACAGATGACAACTTATGGGGTGATTTAATGGGTTCTATGATAGATTAGACTAGAGTTCTGATGACAATGTGAGAAAGGCCAACTACATTCTCATCCTATCAGGACTCTCCTTTATGGACCCCAGATCAGGTGGGTTTGCTGGACCACTGCCTCCCTAACGTTTGTGCAGAAAGTGAACCCACCACTGGTCTGTTTCACATCATATTCTGAGTAACATCCTTAAGCACTTGCTCAATGGTGAGGACAAAGGGCACGACCTTGGATGTCAGTTGTCTTTGCTTCGTGACTGTATTCTGCAGGGGCTACAATAGCATGGGAAACCACGTGTGTCTCTCCCGTAACTTGCAAACTGCCAAAGTGTTCATGAATGTCTGGCTGCCCTTTCATAGCCAGGAACTGGATGTCCCCATTTGCAGAAATCTTCAGATCATGATATCGATGTCCATCTGACAGGACAAGCCTGTAAAATCCATGGCAGTTGTTCTCTGTGCTAGAAGTTAAGCCAGGACACTTAGGGAGGTGTGGAAAGCACTGAGGAGCTTCCCACCCGGCCTCTCAGAGAGGAAACCCAGCAGACAACCTTAAGTGATCGTTGCTCAGTTTCCTGCCGCTTTCCAGAAGGCTGAGGGGTTGGGGAATATTCTGGAAAGTCTATAGAGCATATTGCTTTGGTTGAACCTCTGGTGGGGCAGAAGTCCAGAGCGGGCTGAGTCAGTATGGTGACAGCTGGAGAAAGGGAAAGAGCTGGATCCACTGACTGCCTCTCCTCGCTTGAGTGTGCGTGATACGTGTTGGAATTCCACTTTTTGTCGGGAGAAGTCTGGTGACAGAGGGCCATGTGGCACTTGTGGTCGATCCTTGCAGAGAATGAGTACTCTGCAGTTACCTGGATTCTGGTCAAAGGAAGGGTTAGAACGGCTGCTTGTATCTGATCCGCCAGTCTGAACGTCACACAAAGCTGTCCTGTTACCACAAGACAGGGATGCAGAGACATAATGGTTCAGGGTCCCAGCCGCACTGGCCAATTCTCCTACCAAGTAGGACGGTTTTTGTTCTTGTGACATAACAAATAAGGAAGCTGGTTTTGAAATGCCTACTCATGAATTTTCCTTCAGTTCATCAGAAATGGATGCTCCTCCTTTCTCCATCTTTCTCTTCTGCTTCCTCTTCTTCCTTCCTCCACTTCCTCATCTTCTTCCCCACCTTCCTCCTGTCCTTTCTCCTGTTCCTCCTCCTCATCCTTTCCCCTCATCCCTCTTCCTCTCCCCCCTTCCCCCGCCCTGCCACCATGATTGACTGCACCCTGAAACCGTGAACCAAAACAAACCCTTGCATACGCTGCTGCTGCTGTGTTGAGAAGTAGTTAACGCACCATGGACCAGTTTGTGTGTAAACGTATTCAAATTTTTGTATAAACTTGCTTTCAGCTCATGAGTACAAGGTATAAACACATTTCCTGTTGCGTTTCATCTTCAGAGAGCTCATTGTATGTGTGCAACCATAGCAAAATGAAAGAGAATCTGAAATTACTTCTGGTCTGAAGTGTCTTTAGGTACTCAGCCTGAACAGACGCTTAAGGGGGTCATGGAAGCAGCACTGAGTTTAGGGTTATCCTTTTCCAGACTCTGGGAAGAGTAGCTATCTCCCTCAACCCCTACTTTCAACATGTAGTATTTGTCTTCCTTAGGTTAGGTTACTTCTTAACGTAATAATTACATAGATTACACTTAGCATAATAATTTCCATTTCCATCCATTTTCCTGACAGTGTTATGGTTTAATTTTGTTTTGTGGCTAAGTAAAATTCCATGTGTGTATGTGCCACATTTAGATTTTAACATATATTATATATGTATGTATATATATATACATATACATATGCATATGCATACACACACACACACACACACACACACACACACACACACACACACACATATATGGAGGGGTCATGAAACTAGAAAGGAGACCATGAGAGGTGAGAGGAGGGGGAAAGATCTTGAAGGAGGAGAGAGAGAAAATAGAAGGTAACAGGCAAAATGAAGCAAAAGGGGGTACCACTGGGGAGGAAGGAGACCCACAGTGGGGAGCCAGAGGGACAGGAGAAAGCGATCAACAAAAGTGAAGCATTATGAAAATGCCATAATGAAACTCATTACTTCCTATAAAAACCTTTTAATTAAATTGTTCTTAAGGACGGAGGAAACTACATCTCCCTCTTGACAAAAGTTAGGCAGATGTGGCTACAGTACATAAAAATAAAGGTTCCTGGGGCTGAAGAGATGGCTCAGTGTTTAAAAGTTGCTCTTGTAGTTGACCTGGGTTTGGTTCCTAGCACCCACTTGGTGACTCACAACCTTCCTTTGAGAGCACCATGCTCATAGGTAGTGTTCATAAGTGTAGGCAAAGCACTCAGACACCTAAGATAAAATAAATAAATCTAAAAAAAAACCATTTAAAAATGGAAGTTCCTAAACTCTAGGCTTCTTGGCTGTGCCATAGCTGTGATGATGGGTACGCTGTCCAGCACAACACCATCCCACACGACTGGGAGGAACTGACATGAACATGACACTTAACTCTCCTTGAGTGAGTAACAAAGCACGATAATGATAATCCCTATCATGTCTCCTACCAGCATGCACAAAACCATGGCAACTTGTTGGCTTGGAGGTCTCAGACCCTTTGTAGTTCCTGACATGCATATGTACCTGTATGTTTTAATATTCTGGTTCCTATGATAAAATATACTGACAAAAGCAACTTAAGAGAGAAAGGTTTTATTTGGACTCATTATTCATTAGTACAGTCCATCACTGCAAGAAAGCCAAGGCAGGATCTTGAAGTGGCTGGCCACATTGTGTTCCCAATCAGGAAGCAGAGAGTGGTGAATTCATGCTGCTGCTCAACCATCTTTCTCCACCTCTCTCTCCAGGACTGCAGACAGGCAGTGTGCCACCTGCAGGGGGTGGGCCTGCCAATCAATTGGTGTAGTCAAGATAGCCCAACAGGCATGCCCATCTTCCAAACAATTCCAGAGTCTGTCAAGTTTACAACTAAAACTAGCCACCACGTTATTTGTATAATAATATGAAGAATGACGAGCAGTGCTAAATGATGGTTATGACTGTGAATCCCAGTAGGTCACTAAATTTACAATATTGAGAATGCTACTAGCAGTAACTAGTAGTCTGTTCATAGTCTAACATAAATTAGGCACTTTTGGGAAACATCTTCACCCATGTCACCTCACCGTGCTGTCACAAGAACACTTAGAAGTAGAGGCTGTCACTGCTGTCAGGCCACCGAAGAAGCCGAGGTTGCTGCTGGGCGGACTAAGCCTGGATGGAAGCTGCACCCATGTGATGGAAATGGGTAACTACTAGCTCCGGGAATGGCTCAGTGGGTAAGAGTGTTTGCTATGCAAGTATAAAGACCCAGGTATAAAAACCTGGGTATGGCTACATGTGCCTGTAACCCAGCACTGGAGTTAGAGGCAGACAGATCCCAGGAGCTTGTGTCCAGCCAGCCCAGCTGAAAGAGTGAGCTTTCAGTGAGAGACACTAACGAAAGGGAAGGAGGTGGAGTAAAATACAGGAAGACATCCGATGTTCTCTTCTGGCCTCTTCATGCATGTACCTGGAAGTAAACACACATGTGTATAACACACAGACACACAGAGACACACAGACACACACACACACACACACACACACACACACACACACACACACACACACACACAGAGCCAAGAGCAACTACCAGCATCTGCCACTCCCTGCCCCCTTAACCAATAATTATCTCAGGGGGTGGGGGGTTTTGGGGTTGTTGGGAGCGCTGACCTGGAGCTCAGAGGGGAAAGGAGCTAAAGAGAGTGTTGAGACCTGCAGTTTACTGAATGCTGTGTCCCCCAAATCCATATGTTGAGCCCTAGCTACCGTGGGATGGTGTCTGAACTTTGGAGAGGTAATTAGGACGTAAAAGTAGAGCCACATGCAGAGAAAAGGGCCCCCCAAAGGATTCCCTTGCCCTTTTCACCAAAGGAGGACGGCTAACACACCGGTCTGTGAACCAGGAAGCAGCTCCACCACGGTCTGCTGGCACCTTAGACCTGCAAGCTTCCTTCCAGAGCAGCGGGAAGTGAGTTTGCTCCGCCATCCAGTCTGTGGTTTGCTATAAAAGCAGTCAGCAGGGACTAAAGTAGAACCATGCAAGCAAACATTTAACTGGAAGACCTTAGCAATGAAGAGAGGGGGAGGGGCAAGGACGGGAAAGAGGAGGAGGAGGAGGAGAAATTGAGGTGGGGGTGGGGGGCACCTCGAGTCTCTTCTTCCCTTTCCCTCTCTGTTTGCCTGGGCGAGTGGAAGGTCCCTGTGACACGTCCAGAAGTTCTAGACACAGAGATTTGTGCTTCTCCAGCTCCCCTAACACTGCAAACAGTAAATTACAGAAGTTGTCCGTTCACCTCCGATAAACCGCACGCAAGTGGACTCCCCTCCCTCCCAGATCCACCCACTGCAGTTTTCAAGCTGAGCCCAGTCGCGTGAGTCTCTGTGGGAACCCTGTGGCTTACAGGCTCTGGGAGGAAGGATCTCAAACAGGAAGGCTGCGTCTGAATGTGCTTCCTCTGCTGCTGAGGCTGGGGGTTCCTCTCTGAGAAGGCTTGGTGGCTGTAGGAGTCACTGCAGTGGGTGGGTTGAGGAGGGACTAGCAAGCATTGCCATTTGCCAATGAAAGCGTCAAAGCAGTCCCAAGCCCCAAGCGGACGTTCTAGGAGAAAGAAGAAAAGAAAAAGAAAAACAAAATTGCACCTTCGGGTTATAAGGATGATAGAGAAGAGGCCATCCTAGTGTTTATTCCACAGTTTGATCCATCCTTCCAGCTGCTGTTGAAATGTTTTATAAGACTGCTTCAAAACAAACCAGTTGGAGCCCAGTGTGCCATGTGGTTAGGGCAGTTCCTCCCCGGTTTCCTGTTGGCCTTGCAGGATGACATTTTCCTCTGCACTGGCCCACCAGCCTCTTGCCCCGTGACGAGCCACCCTGTGCTGCTTCATCCTAGCTGTATGTGTGCTAGTTGGGGGTAATCAGGCTCTCCCCTCCCCTATGGGACTAGGGCTGTCAGTCCAAGCTCCTCTCCTTGCGAGGACAGATGATCTAGATAGACCAGAGCAGTAGAGGTCCCACTTGCAGAGAATGCTCTAAGTTTGCTCTGCAGAGTGGAATCTGAGCCGGTAGGGACACATATTCCAGCAAGTTCATGCTGCCCACTTGAGAGGGAAAAATCATGTGACACTTTGTCACAACACTCTCCTCATCCGGGTTTGAGAATGCCTATGTCATGGAGGGAGGCTAGTCCTCACCCTCTGTGTCTCCACCTGGCAGAGACTGTGATCACAGGTGTCTGAGTAGGTTAGAGACACTGGCCCTTTAAAGGACCCAGGAAAGGAGGGTCTTAACTTATCATATCTTCCATTCTTCTGCAGAGATGAATAAGAAATGTGGGAAAGTGGGTAGGAATAAGGGTGTTAATCAATGGCGTGGACTTGGATGGGAGATGGGAATGTGTGTGCATAAACTGTGTGATTTCATCTCCCTGGAGAGTCAAAAGCCTGGATTTCCTTGAGCCCCGATTCACATCATGTGACTTCAATTGAAATATCTAAGTCATTTTATGTACAATATTTTTGGGATTATTGTATAGGAGACTACAACTTTAATCAACTCCAGTGATCACAAAGGAGCCAAATATGAAGATAATAGATGTGCAACTGTTGTGACATAGATGGGGGGGATATAGTATTTTATTGTTAAAAATAGTGTGTGAGTGTGTGTGTGTGTGTAAGTTTGTGTGTTGCAGAATATTATTTTAAGGCATGTTACTTTTGTTTATGTTGCACTTGTTTAACTCTGTGAAGCTGTGTTACTGTGCCGGTCTAAAACATCCGATGGTCTAATACAGAACTGAGTGGCCAATAGCAAGGCAGGAGAGAGAAGAAATGGAAGGAGAAATCTGGGAGGAAAGAAGAAGGAGCCAGCGAAGGAGAGGACTCCAGGGGCCAGCCACCCAGCTACACAGCAAGCCACGGATTTCTGTAAGATTTACAGAAGTAAGAGAATGGGAAAAGTCCAGAGGCAAACGGTAGATGGGATAAGTCAAGCTAAAGAAAGCTGGCAAGAAACAAGTCAAGCTAAGGCTGGGCATTCATAATTAAGAATGAGCCTCCATGTGATTTGGGAGCTGGGTGGTGGGCCCCCCAAAGAGATAAAGAGCAAAAACAAACAACAACGTATGTGTGTGTGTGTGAGAGAGAGAGAGAGAGAAAGAGAGAGAGAGAGAGAGAGAGAGAGAGAGAGAGAGAGAGAGAGAGAGAGAGAGAGGAGGGAGGAGGGAGAGAGCACAACTGTCATGTGGCTGTCAGAGGACAGTCTCTTGAGTGAGTCCTCCACTGTCTGAGACAGCATCATCTCTTTATTGCCACTGTGAGCTCCAGGCTAGCTGGCCTGCCACTTTCCATCGATCGTCTTGTCTCCGTATAGGGTCACTGGAGTGATGAGCCAACACTGCTATGTCCAGACACACATAGGTTCTGGGGATCCGAACTCAGGTCCTCACACGTGCATGGCAAGCACTTTCCCAGCTGAGCCATCTCCAGGCGAGGAGATGCTTCTGAAGTGCTGGGGCTTTAACCCTTAAGTGGGAAGACAGCAGCACAGCCTTACCTCTGGCCTTTAATAAGCCAACTCCTGTAGCTCTGGCGGTAAATTTGGGGGGAACTGAAAGCAAAGAAGGCTTTAAAATGCAAAGCACAGGACTCATTTATAACACAAGTCATTAAGACTCACTCATTGAGATCACCACCACGGGCCAGCCACAGGCTCCCAGTTTCACATGTGGTAACTCCCGATACCATGAGCGTCCACTCAGAAACTGAAGCAGTGGTGATGATGTAAGGGACTTGGACAAGATCCCCTGGATATTCAGTGGGAGCCCAGTTGCTCAGCATAAAGCCTGCCTCTGCGAGGACCACAGTGTCCTTGCCCTCCAGAAGAGAAAATAAACAATATGGAAACGCCATTGTATTCTGCCCATCTGTCGTCAGAGACCATCTTACTGGATGTTCGCTGGGTCTCAGGCCGTCACTTGACTCCACATGTATTTGTATGGCTTCATTTGATCTTGTTAGCACACAGATAGAGTGGTACTGCAGGGTGAGACCTCAGGGGCTCAAGAAGACGGAGTGATTTGTCCAAAGCTGCAGAGCAAGTTAGTGCTGACCGCAGAGTGGACATCAGAGTCTGACCTCGGAGGCCCAGTCCCTAATACCATCACTCACCTCACACTGATACACTGAGGCCTACCTGTTCTGTCTTTGCTTGGATTGGTGTGTATCTCCAGTCATCTTGGAGCACATAGATTAAATTTCTTGTCTAGGGCTCCAAAAATCCCACTGGTCTATGTGAGGGCAAAGCTCATCACTTTGGCCCAGGTAGGTGTCATGCAGAACTCATGACCCAAAGGGTCTTAAGTCAAGGACTTGGGTCATGTCTATGTTCATAAACATCCTAGTTGTCCTTGCTGAAGGCAGCTACACTATCCCAGCCATCCTGGATTGATGTTTTCTTTACTTCACTAGCCCATAACCTTGCTCCCTACAGTGAAGGTCTATTTTTGTTTGACTTACCTTCAGCTGGTGTGGTCTCTAGTCCGTGTGTAAAAGAGACTAATTCTAAAGCCCCCTCACTCAGTCCCTTGTGCCCCCATGAATGTGTGTGCCCAGTTCTGCATCAATGCTTCTAGCTACAGTAGAGCCTTGGACAAAGTTGTATGGTGCTGGGATTCTTGCTCTGCCTTTTAGAGGGTCTGTTCACACAGTATTCACAGTTACTTGTTTGTTGTCAATCAATATGGATAACAAGGATGTCGTCGTGGGCCAGGAATGTGGAAAAAGCAGAGCCGGAGTCCTTCTTTGTCTCACATGAGAAGTCCAAAGCTTCTTGTGGGAACACTATGTTTAGAGGTAGCTAGAGGCTGACGTTACCTCAAAGTATGTCTTACCTGTTTGTCCTACCCTAACAAAACACCTTATGCTAGGCAAATTTTTGAAGAGTTGCTTCTATTTTTATTTTATTATTTGTTTGTTTGTTTGTTTATTTTTGTATGTGTATGTGTGTGTGCATGCGCCATATGCATGCATGCCTGGAGAGGCCAGAAGATGGTGTCAGATCCCCTGGGACTGGAATTACAGGTGGTTTTGAGCCATCCACATGGGCACTGAGAATGGAACTCAGATAAGCCCCCATAACCACTCCACCGTCTCATCTCTCCAACCCCCAGGCTAGTAATGACAAGCAAAAGAAGCTTGTTGCTCATAGTCTTGGATTCTCAGGAAATCTAAGATCAAGGAACCAACATATCTGGCTCTGGTAAGGACTCATTCTGTTCCAAAGATGGTAATTTGTTGTTGTATTGTCAATGGTGGAAGAAAAACAGAAACAAACAGCAAAAGCTCTGGCCGCCTCTTTGATAAGGAAACTAACCCCGTTAGTGAGAGCTTGGTCCTCCATGACTTGTCAGCTCCCAAAGGCCTCACGTCTTCACATTATAGCTGTGGGAATTTGGCATCAACATAGGAACTTGGGAGGGACAATCTCCTGCCTGGTCCATGGTGTGGGCTGGTTGGACCCAATAACTAAGGTCTCCAGACCTTCATAGTAGTCTCTCAAGGCAGCCTAGCATCCTCCTCCCAGGGAGGCAGAGCTTCCAACTGATTGGCCTTCTTAGAGTACCTCAGAGCACGTGGTGAAAGCTGCATTGCCTTTCTTTTATAACCATCCTGGAAGTCACACTGCATCACTTCCTCAACAACATATGTATTTTCACCATAACCTCAAGTCTGTCCAGATATGAGGGAAAAATGAGCTGCTCTTTTTGATGAGAAGGTATATTTGTCCATTTCCATGGCTGTTACAACATGCCTGTGGCTGAGCAATTTATAAAGAAAAGAGACTTATTTATCTCAGTTTGGGACTCCAAATGTCCAAAGTAAGGTGGTCTTCTCTCAAGCCTCAAGTGAAGGCTTCATGATAGATGACATCACAGCATCAGAAGCCTATGTGAGAGCAATCACTTGGTGTGATAGAAAGCTCCTTTTGTAACATACCTTCATGGCAGCCATGGATTTGCATGATCTACATCAATCTCTCTGAGGGCAATGGCCAAGTTACCTAATCACTACCTGCTAGCCCTTTTTGTCAGGATTCTACTACCTCAATACTGCCACACTGAGGTCCACACACCCAGTATATGAACCCTTGGGGACAAACCACCTTGAAGCGACGGAAGACAGAAAAGCAGCACCACAGGACAGCACTGGGGTGGGAGCTGTTTTGTGGCCGTCCCTGAAAATCTGCCATGTGAGTGAAACAAAGGGAGTAGATTGGAAATCATAATTGATTAGCCTTAATATCAATGGGTTGCACATACATCCAAAAAGGCCATGAAAGTTGGACGGAGATTTCTTAAGAAGATTCCATCAGGAGGGGGAGAAGGATGAGAGAGGGCAGTAGAACTCACTAAAATCTTTGAAGGAAAGCTAACTGTCCAGCATTCTAGCCTTCACAGGGTTCCTTTGCAAAAAGTGTATTTGATATGTACAAGCATTTGTCTACCTATGTACGATAAATGTTTGGCTGCATGTATTTACATACATCACATGCATGCCTGGTGCCAGCCATAAACCAG